AATTGCTTTGTCTTTTTAGGGAACTGGTCCGAAAGGAGAGGTTGTTGGTGACCCAGCTAAGAACGGTGCTGTGGCCCCGCCTCAAGGTTGTCTGCAGTACATTCTCGACTGTAATGGCGTCGCAGTGGGCCAAAAACAAGTCCAGGCCAACTGAGTCACCCAGGAGAAACTAGAGAATTCTCAAAGTCTAGATAACAACGACGTCTCTTAGCCAAACTCAAGCGCAGTCGTGTGTTTGTGTGGATGCTAACAGCTTGAATCAGATCTTGGTGACGTGAGCTCGGAACAGCTGAGTGCTGCCCTGGACTGTGTTTTTAACCCTATGCAGTGTCAAAATTGACTGTCTACTTGTTGACCTGTTCATTTGTGTGCTTGTATGGGTCACCCTTGTTTCAGTAGCTGTGGTTTTTCTTTGGGGCTGTTGTTGATTATGTAAAAAGCAGATTGTGCCTACACTGAGTCCAGTGCTGCTCTGTGCTACCCGTTTGACCCAGCTATAAATATTTTTGATTTGCCCCTTACCCCCTTTTCTGTTTACTATTTTGGTGTGTACCTTAGATATTGTTCGAACTGTGGACTATCGTGCAGTTTGAAGTGTGTGTATCTCAATATGTGTACAGTACGTGAGTGTGTATGGCTGTAGTGGTGATTATTTTCATACTAATATAATAGATATTTATTTTTGTTTTGCATGATTGATACAAAAGAAGGTGCAAGTCAGTTACTCAGTCTGATCAAGTGGGAAAATCATGAAACATCACTGTTTTACCCAAGATGTGTTCCCTGTGATTCATGCATTGTGAATGTGTCTTATGAAATGCATATTATATAAGTTAAATAGCTTACATGTATCCATTACCAATCAAGCGTTATACCAGTGTGCATACACATACTATAGAGATATACAGTATGTGGCCTTTCTCCTTCTTTTCATCATCACTGTCACAATGTTATCAGACAAGAGATTATGTCGAGTGATTTTAGGATACTCATAGATAAACACATTATAAATAATAAAACTTAGTCTAAGATCTATTAGCTCTATTAAAGATACAGATAATATTATGAAGGGTTGTGCAGGTGTCTGCACACACAACTTAAATATATTTCTATAATTTTGAACCAAAGAATACATCATTTACTTTCAATCGGTCTTTGCACTCATGCTGTAACCCACAATGTAAATATTAGCGAGTGGGCTGCAGTGTGTGTAATTTCACCATGAAGAAGACAATACTTCTATGTTTTCAAATAGACTGTTGTGAATCAAAGCCACTGAATTGATGCCATATATTAAAATTGTGGTCTCTCCGGTTGTGAGGAGGCGGGCATTACGGCTGCTAATATGGGTGAATAATGTATGATCTGCCACTCAATTGCCAGATATAATACCCCCTGTGGCCCTCACACTGGATAATGGCTATCATTGTGGTGTTGCTATGACAACAATGCACATTCTTTGAGGTTTTAGCGTCTGTGTTTCTGAATATTCAACACTTCCTGTGATTTGATGGAAAGTGCAATACAAATCTTTGTTTTTTTACTCAATAATCGTTTTATTTTCAAATCAGATCTTCCATTGAAATGATTCAAAAAGCTATAGTCATCCACTCAATGATTTTTTTTTAAGCGTTTCTAAACTAATATCACTATCACTTGGTTGTTGTCCAGTGGCTATTTCATATATCAAATACCCTAAATGGTGAAACAGCTAAAAAGCAACCAAATCAACTGTAAAAAGAAATCTGTACCTGTTTTCCAATGTATTTGTTATGACATATGTTCAGCAAGCTCTGTGTGCAATTCTTTACCAAGTTTTATAAAGTGCCATTGTATCTGTGAGTGTATCCTTGTAAAAGCCATGCCTGGGGCTTTATGAGTGTGTTGTTCTGTTCAATAGGAAATATGTCATGGCATTGAACTCCAAGGGAGGAACATGCAGAGGTAACCTGCTGCATGGTCATCCCTTGGTTCAGTGATCGAGACTCGATATTTGACAAATTATAACTGGACGTCTTTATTTGGCCAATGTGTTGAGGTGAAACCTATATCTTCAGACCTGTAGGACTGCAACTATTAAGGGCCATGGTAACTTGCTCAATATATGTACTTTTAAAACCGGTGTTGGACTGTTTAAATCAAGATCAGAATACAATATATTGTGGAAAAACGTCCTTTCTGGATATTTCCCCTCTGTCACTGGCAATAAAGCTTCATTTGCAATATATGTATGGTCTGTGTCCTCATCTGTTGTTGTGCTGTTCATGAAGGGAACCCTTATGATCAAAAACATACAAGATGTATCAAATTCAATTTGAGGAATCCATACTACTCCAAAAATGCACACAATAATGCACGATGCAATATTCATATTGTGGTAAATATATCTATATTGTAGTAATGTATTCCCTCCTCTTTGTTTGTGCCATTCTTTGTGTTGTCTCACACTTAAACAATATGACATTACTATCTTTAAGTCAGATAAGTATATTAAAACATTCATCAAAACATGCAAAAGTACATTTAAATTTCACTCACCACTCTGTCAACATTTATCTTTTGCTCAAATTAAAGCCCCCACAAGGATTTCTTTCACAAAGGCCTGCTCCAAAGCTGAACCTCAAGGCTGTAACCGCTTTTCTGAAAATGAATCCACAAATACTCACAATAAGTGTACATTCAAATACATGTTTTGAATGAGATCCTAGCTTAATATGCTGTTGTACTGGACTAAATGATATTGGGATGTTTTCAATTTGTTTGTCATTGTCATATCAGATACATGAGGGTGGCATACTTTCAGAAACTCTTCAAAGACAGAGTAAGAAAAACACATCAAATTTAGATTGGTTTGCATTTGATCCGTTACACAATGCACCATCTCTTAGTTGCAGCTCAGTCCCTTTTTATCCTTCAGAATTTATACCATCCTCTTTTAGCTGCTGCCAGATTGTCTTGGCTGCTTCTACCAAACTCTCCAGCGTATTCTAGCCTGTATTTACCTGATCTGGCTGTTCTCATCCAGCTTGCCTGTATTTTGGGCCTTGGGTATTATGTTTGCTACTGTCTCATTGAATGGCTTAAGGATTCAATTTAGCCAGAACCAGTGAACATTACAAGATTAAACATGAATACCTAATAGATCTAATCTAAACGTTTCCACAACTGGACCTAGATTATGTTTTGTCAGTCCTCGTTTTAAACCGAAAAGGCAATCCCTGAATGAAGTTTCCTGTGAATGTGAACAGTTTCTTTTGTGATTTAAATCTAAGTGTATGAGGTTAGACGAAGCAACAAACGAAGTTCTGGCTCATAAAATATAATAAAATGTTATTAACATTTCTTTCAAGCATTGCATGACAGTAACAAATGATATGACGAATACCTCATTGAGCACATTCATTACTTATTTGTCAATCGGGTTTATTATTCTCTTGATAACGCTTCTTCCAAATTGAAAAATATCTCATAAGGTGCACTCCATTATGATATTATTTGTTCTGCTTTATTGCTTTGGATGTTTTGCCTTTTTAGTTACACTGAATCAGCCAACTGGTGACAGTGTTACAACATCCCACCAGATCTGTAAATGCTTTTTTCCCACAACCAAGCTACCTTGTCTGAGAGTACACAAGGATCCCTCAACATATGCAATTACTGTCAAGTTAACAGACCTGGTGTGCTGTACCAATTACAAATATTGTGTTTTTAAGACATATGTATTCTCCTTGTATACAGTATGTGCACAGGAGGGCTTCAAAATGTCCACATGACACTCAAAACGTACTTACATAGCACAAACCCTGCATACTCTGCACAGCAAATGTCAACCATTTAAATTATTTAAACAAAGAGAAAACACATTGTGAAGTGAGTGTGTATTTGTCTTATATTTGTAAAAACAACGATCATTTAACCCACAATTCTAATGATAACCTCAACATTTTGAGTTTGTTATTTTACTAGTATGATGCCTTTCTGTACTTATCCTCTTGTTGTTCCTGACAGCAGAGACTGGTCAGCACTGTGCACGTTCTGCCTACACATGACTCATCAGTGCATATGGATAACCTGATGATTAGCCTGTGTTTCCTTACACAAGTATTACTTTTAAAAAGAATGAGGTAGTTCAGGCTCCTTGTCATTTTAACAATGGGTTTGAATGCCAGATTTTTGCTCATAATGGCATATTTTTGCATTGTTCTCTTGGTACTTTTTACTTACCACTATTCCTGCAAGTAGTGTGTGAAGAAGGCCGACACACCCTGAAGGAACAGCCACTAGATGGAGCTATTTGTAGGCCAGGCAGGGGTGTATGACTGTGCCTGTGTGGCTTGTCAGAAAGCAGAAATAGAACAGATAAACACATATAGCAAAACCGTCTTAAAAATAGAAGACTAGCGGTCAGTTGATGACTTTGCTCTTATTGCATTGCTCCACTTTTGATGACATCTGCACTATTGTAACCTGTGACGTGTCACTCAAGAAATGTTTTTTTACAGCCTTGGCATACATTTAAATTCAAAATAATCCATTTCTAATTTAGTTCACATACATTATGCCCATATTTACTATAAATGTGCGCGCCCTTGCCCAGCAGGAACTACACGTTGCATGTTTACACTAAAACGAAATATAACTGTCCTCTTTTTCCACAGCACGTCCCTCCCTTGCTAAATGATTGTTGTTCCACAGAGCCTGCCAATGGCTGCGCCGTACACAGAAGCATCAGCCAATGGAGGAATCCCCTGGTGTATGTATAACGGTGTATGCACTGGATCCCCTGTGAGGTTACACCACGTTGCCACTGCTAAAGCAAACATTTCACCCCACCACAAAGTCTTGCACATGTGTGGGACTTTAGTGTGAGTGAACGAGAGAGGAGGCCGTACAAATCTGATCCGCTTCAAATGCTGGTCATACAATTATATAACGTACAGTGTGTGGACTAATTACATGTGTTCCCCTTAATAATAAGTACAACATTTAACAAACACATATTTGGCAAAGGAAATTAACTTAATTTTATTAAAATATCGAATCCAAGGACACAAAAAACGTTTAACCTCCTGAAAGAGACATCAAAAGACAACAAATACTAATTAGTTTCCAATCATTTAAAACATTTAAGACAACCGCCACATGTCCAGCTCATGATAACCTTCCCATGGTGAGGACTGATAAGAATGTGTGTGTATCTACAGATCTATGAAGCCATATGTATACGGTTAGGAAATAACCATTGCTTTTGCTAGTGTGTGCAAATTCCATTTTACCGTCATCACTCATGCTCGCTGTCCGACAGGCTGATAGTTCTCCAAAATGACCCCCCAAAAAAGACAATAAAAAAAGAAAAACAATTTCCCATTTCTACACCATTATCCTTTAAGACAATGCAAAATAAACTACTATTGTGCAACTAAATGGACTACCTCCAACGGCTTTGTGATGACAAGAGGAGGTGAATTGTGCAGGATCTTAGTCCAGGCTTTGTTTCCTCTTAAGGCATCTTAGCTTTAAATTCCTCTTCATCAGAAACCAGCGCGGTCAGACAGAAGGCTGTGCTTCACATCACAGAACCCAAATCCAGAGAGATACATCTGTCTTCCTCTTGCGTTTCCTTCAGTGTCCATTTATCGTCGTCTTAGGTAGCTGTGCGTGCACTTATTTACAAATTGTCACCGTGGAGCCTCTGCATACTTCTTAATACGTGCAGCGATAATCAAGGCACCATCTTAAGCCAGCTTCTTCATGTGTTCTTCCCACTGCAATCCATCTTCATTCAGATCCACTTCCTTCTCCTCTCTTACTCACATATTGTATTGATTAGACAGGGTTTATATATGATTGTATGTACATTTGTAGGCTTACATTCGCATCTGTGTGTATAGCATTTGGGCATACTTAGCATTTGGACTGTTCTGGATATTTTGAAAGAGAAGGTGGAGGGGTAAGTGTAAGGAGAGGAGGCAGGGCTGTCTGAAACTCTAGAAATCAGGCAGTCTGGTGGAGGTCAGAGTACAGGCATTGATATCCTCAGTGTGAGAGGCTCTGTGCAGGGACGGTTCTGAGGCACTGCGGTTTATCTTAGGTAGGGCGTGCTGGAGAAGCTCAATGGAGGACAAAATCTATTAAAAAGAAGCATAACATGGAAAAGAAAATTATTAATTATACAAAACAGTCTTTATCCCACTAGAAGTCTTTAATTAGAGAGTACTTCACCTGTGGGAAGAGCGGCCTCTCGTCCTTGGACTTCTTGATGCAGTCGGCCACCAACCTTTTCATGGCTTTGGGGCAGCTCTTGTAGAGCTTACTGAGGTCTGGGGACAGGTAGCCTCTTCCCACCATGAAGATAATCTGAGAGGGGAGGGGGAGGGGGTCACAGACAGATCAGACTGAGGGAGTGTTTTGAACATGGATCCCATTTGTAAACATTTAAGAGTTCAACTAAAGACCCAAGTCAGTGCCACAACAGGAGGCACCTGATCAATCAGCAGATCATCTCAGGGATAAGTTTAAAAAATACCCAGAGAGTAAAAAGGTGACAAGCATCTAAAACACGGGAGCTTTTGTGGAGGCATGAGTGCTTGATGCTGCTTAGATAATGGGTGATAGGAGTACTCCATGTGCTTGCCAGTCAGAAGTGGATCATAACAGCACTTATGGGCACACTTTGTACAGCGACTTTATCCTATTTTGAATACAAACGCAATAAACTGAACTGAACAAGGAGCCAGACACGATCCAGACTTGGTCTCGTGGCCTGCGGTAGGACGAAAAACCACAGACACACATTTGCACTCCCATGCACCGCTTTTCAAACACACGGGCAGGGTTGTGTTACGGGGTCTAAAATTAGGCCAGTGGCTCCAGGAAGGCCGCCTCTGTTCCACGATGGGACTTAAGCCAGCTCCATAAGCCCCCTCCAGACAGCGACCCAGTGTCTGTCCACCACCTTCTGGCCCCGGCTCGCTGACTGACACTGGGACACAGGCGAGGACTAGAGCTTGACTGACTGTGGGTTACAGCTCTGTTTTACATGACCAAACTTGTAACCCAACTTAAAAAGTTTAGGCAAAAGTCTCTCAGCTACTGTATAGGACCTTTTGTAACACTAAACTATTGCCACTTGACCACACAATATGAAACGTGTAACTGATGAGACTTTACCTGATCTCTTGTTGCTATCAGGGAGTAAGGGAGCTCTCCCGTCAGGATCTCAAAGAGAACAATTCCATAGGAATAGACATCAGACTGGAAGCTGTAGGGGTTGTTATCCTGCATCCGGATAACCTCAGGAGCCTGTGGACACAATTAACACACATTTCTTTAGATTTGCTGTTGTGTCTCACATGAAAAGAGTCTCAGAACAGTTGTCTTCATTGCTTCAGTGAAAGGAAGGCTGTGTTACTGACCATCCACAGAATGGACCCAGAGGGCTGCTCCACCTGATGCGAGCCGCTCCATCTGGCCTTCACTGTGGCCAGACCAAAGTCCCCGATTTTCACCGTGAGCCCTTCATGCAAGAAGATGTCTACACCGCTGTCAAGGAATCACAGCTGAAGCACACTGGGAAAAACACACATCCTGACCACCATGAGGATTAACCTGTTACATCATTTTCACGAAACTGTGTCTCAGGGCTTCTTAACATTTAACAACCTATTAATGTGTCTCCCCCTCCCTCTCGATTCTATTGGTTCTAACGGTTCAAAAGAGGTGTCAATCACCAAAATCGACCGATGGGTTCCAGAGATATGGCAATTACACCCAAATGATCCCAGAGGTGGATTTATTTTTCTAAACTTCTCTAAAAAGGTCAAATTTCACTTGTTTTGCATCAATATTGATACAGGGTACTTATATGTTATAGTTTGGATTCCTAAAGCTTTTTGTCTCCGATCCCATCATTCAAGGGTGCATGGTTTTCACTATAAGTAATTGTTGGGTTTTTTGGACGGAAACTATAATTTACATTTTTTTACTATGTTCAATCTGAATTTACTTTAAAATAAAAACATCTATTCTGATTCTGACTTTTCTACATCCAACTCACAGGTTTATCATTGCTTTGAGAAAAAAGATTATTAATTTACCCCTTTTAGAAGGGAAGTGAAGATATGGTCATTTGTTCTGGGAATGTCATTTTCGAGCCTGAGAACTGAAAAACAGGCTTGGGGCTTAACTGGTTAAAGTGCATGAAGTTCTTTTATCTTTCACACAAAGCACACACAGCTAATAGAAAGGATACTGTTGGACTTCATGTCACGATGAATGATGTTCTTTGCATGCAGATAGCTGAAAATGAGAGAGAATTCTTTTAATGATATTTTGGTTTCTTTTAATTTTGTAAATCAGGAAAGATCCATTTGTCAGGACTTACTCCATGCCCTGAGCCGTCTGCCTGGCGATGTCGATGAGCTGGATTATCTTGAAGTTGGTCTCCAGGACGTGAAGGTGTTTGTAGAGACTGCTGCCCTCACACCACTGGGTCACTATGGCCAGGTTGTCCTTCGTCATGTAGCCCATGAACAACAGGATGTTGACATGTCGTGTTTTCCTGTGAGGTAGAAAGGAAGAGGAAACGACACATTGGAGAGAACATAACATTTTGTGGTGAAATTGAAGGATTTCAGCAATTAGATTTTTTTTTTTTAAACAGCTGAAAAACCTAGCTTTAAAAAGGGTTATTGTGTAAATGTATTGATGTATAACTTTTACCTCAGGACTGCCACTTCATTTCTGAATGCCTGAAACTGCTCCGGTGTTGGGTTGGTCACCTTTAATATCTTCACAGCTACATCACCTACAACAAAGAGACACTCTGCTCAGATCCCCAAGAATCCCCTGTGTGCCCATATGAAAATCCTTATGGGCACAGGTTAATCTTTTGTAATTGTTAAGTGTAGTACAGACAAGTAAAAGTGCAAGTTGTTACACCTGAAAGTGCCCTGCCCCATCTGAAATACATTCCTACCATGCCATTTCCCTTTGTACACGGTTCCAAATGAGCCAGAACCGATGCGGTTGTTCAGATAGACCTCGCTGGCCTCGATCTCCCAGTAGTAACTAGAGTCCCGCTTGTCCCGAGGCCTCTGGAGGAACAGAAATCAAGAAGGAGCAATTTATGTGAGACTCATAACCAATCAATCAAACCAGTTATCATCAGACACTGTTCTCCATAACTGGTCTGAAAGTATTTTCTATTTATATACAGCATACAAGCAGGAAATAAATAGCTGCAGGATTGTTTTACTCACTCGTGGAATGCAGCAAAGTACTCTTCTTGAAAAACTACTTTGAAAGTGTTTTGATAGTAAATGTCATTAACTACTTCTACACCGGCATACAAACAATGCATCGGACTTACAATTTTATTTTTCTCCTGAGTGTTGAAGGACGGTGCCCTCTCTCGCTGGTTGGGGGCGGGGGCTTTGGACGGAGGCTGGGACCAGCCTGTGGGGCTCTGGCTGGGGGAACTACCCGCTTCAAGATTAGAGAAAAAGGTGATTAAGTATGGATTCACGATTGAGGCTGCTTCAAAATCCTTTACTACTGAATCTACACGGAGGATGACATTTATATAGTGTTGGATATTTAAGATTTCATTAAATGGGATACAAGAGTGATCTATATGCCCACAACAATAGAAAAAGGCCAACGTTGACTCCTGTCCTATCCTCCTCCGTCATGCTTCTATCAGGCTCAACAAAAGGGAGCTAAGATGGCCAATGATAAAATAAATAGGTGACACATTTGTTGATATGAATGAATGTACAAATTGTGTATTAAGATTAATTACAATGTCTGTAGAGCCTTTTTTCCTTGTTTGATGGTTAATCACAAACAAATTCATCTTGTATGACCGTCCTACCACCTGTAGTGTTAAGCTATGTTTTTACGTCTTTTAAATATTATGAATGCTTTGATGAGAAATGTCCCAATTTGGTGGTAAACAGAGACAGCCAGGCAGTCAAGAAACAGAACAAGTTTTGAATGATTACACTTGTTTCAAATGAATGCACAATCAAAAGGGGGGAGATTTGAGTTGACAGTGTAAGGAGGAAGTGTGATGCAACACAAAAAAGTACACACCAGGAGAAAAGTAGAGCGAGTACTTACACGAGTCATGATCACGCATTGCATCCTAGAGACATAAGAAATGGTGTCAGTAAACACAGTGAACAACATGCTGTGCAGTCACTCATGGTTTGACTTCCGTACTGAGATATGAATGCAGATAGTCTGTTTGCAATGCATGCAATTCAGACTGCACACAGACGCACCGCTTTCTAACCTTTTCTGGTCTCTCGGATGAGGCCTCAACAAAAGACTGGGAGAAGTGCACAATACCTACTTTCCTCTTCAGCCAGAATCTATGGCACCAGGAGCTGGGGGACGTATTCAGGCAGTCTAGCTACTCCCCAGCAGGGCACACAATACAACAGGCAAGTGAAGACAGGGGGGGAAAGGGACAGAGTAAAGCAAAGTAAGGAAGGAGCGAGGAAAATAATAGTTCTCAGTTACTACCTGAACAGAATATAGAGGAAATATAGAGCTGATTATGCAAGAAAAGTGAAAAATGCAGAAACTAGACCTGAAGAGGGGGAATGCAAGTGTGGCACATTTTAAAATAACATAAAACAGGCTCAACCCTATTCAGGTGAATCACTTAACACAGATAAGAGGTAGAAAGAAGCAAGGCGCAGATAGTTGGAATGCCTGAGATGTACGTAGGAGGGCAGGAGATATTTTAGGAGTGGCTTCAACCTACAGGAGTACCCAAGATGGTGGTGTGTAGTTACCTCAATCATGCTGCAGTCTACAGGCAGGGTAGTGCTAACCATGTGGACGTTGGGTGTGGAGGTGGAGCGCTGCCTCTGGGAGAGCCAGCCGCCTGCGGGCGTGCAAGGCGCGGTGTAGTTGAAGGCATGAGGGGTGGAATATCGGTGGGCCGAGCTGTAAAAGGTGGACAAGGACCAAATATTACCACAGAGCTGCTATTGTTCGTCTACGTCTCTTGTCACTGCTTCAAAATGACATGCACCAATGACATTTGAGCAAACAGTGAATTCAGTGACTTCTTTATAATCTGGACAGTCGTGGGTGTGGTGGTGGTTGATGCAGTGGCTTTCAGGTTTCGTTTTTATTTTTCCCCAGTCACGCATCATATGTTGAGGTTGTGTCGTCAACAAACTGCTACCACGCATGCATAATACTATGGGGGGAAAACACAAATGGTAAAGCACACTGTGGTGAAGTAGTTATTAGTAGTTTTACTTTGGCCTTCCCCATGTTTGGCTCACTTGACAAAGTAGAGCTATTTTGCCCTTGATGTTTGCCAATGTCAGTATTGGCTCAGCTGAGTACAAAGCTCACCAGCCCAATATGTAAATTAGCTAACAAACCAAATGTTAGTCTGACTTGAGATGTTCACTTTAATCAAATCAAGTTATATAGCACATTTATAAACGATTTTTGGTCGAGCCAAAGTGCTGTACATATAATAAAAATAGCCTATAGTAGAGACACTTTACAGCAAATACAACAGCACAGATTGTTCAGAATATCAGTGTGAGAAAAACGACACCCTCTATCCTTTAAAAACGCACAAAACCTGATCCAGTTCAAATATCCAAAAACATATGAACAAGAGTGTTCCTGGATTATTAACAGCTGGACTGTAGCTGCTGTTTAAAATGGGGCGATGAAGAGTGAACGACATATATAATCATAGAGATCATATTAAATCACAATTACAACCATGCACTGCTCTCTTTAAGAACAATCCCCCTTCTGGCAGCACAGGACTATGTTTCCAAAGAGTATTTGAGATCGCTCTGCATGGAACAACTTGATACTCTGCGAGCGCTAATTTGGCAGCTCAGAGTGCTTTTTAACCATTTGAAGTGCTGCTGAAACAACAGGCTCTTTTCACGCCTCTCATTACATCAGCTCTTGGACTGCTAAAACCTCGTAAAGCTGAGGACGTCATTAGAAATAGGATTTAATTCAATTCAGATTAGGTTCCTTACACATTACAATAAGACTGATTTGCAAAAAACAGGAAATGATCATGTTCACAGCTGCCTAAATACGCCATTGTTCAACACTTGGTTCTTTGTGAGGGTCCCCGTTTTGTTCATGTTGTGTACAAGGAAGCACTTGATGTGTTACATGTTCCTTATAAGACGTTGCGATATGCAGCAAAGTCGAAGAGGAAGACTGTGAGCAAGTAAACAATGAAATACTTTCAAATGTTTTATGTGAAAGAAAATACATTGGACTAATTTGGTAGCGCAATGATACACACAATGCGCTTTGGTAAGCAACACTGAATGTAGGGCTGCTCGATTATGGCAAAAATCATAATGGGTCAATAATTGATATCACGATTATTAAAAACGATTATCCATTTACTTTGAAAACATCAATTTATTGGAGAAAACAAATTTGAACAGTATGTTTTTAACAGTTGATTACCCTGAGCTTTAAGTATAATTCAACTGAAAAACCAAAAAAAAAAAAAAAAAAAAAAAAGTAATAATAAAAAAATAATCGTTTTATTTCGATTACGTTGTTTTCGTAATCGTTGCAAGCTATAATCGTAATTGCGATTAAAATATGATTAATTGAGCAGCCCTAACTGAATGTAAGCATACATTTGGTTTGTATACGAGGAATCCCGTCTTAAAAAGTAGTACCGTCTCGTTTTTGCCCCTTTGACCGTAGAAGAGGTGGGTTCAATTCTGCAAAAATATTTTGTATGTAGTTTGTATTTGTGTGTGTAGGTTTTCCGTCTCCAAAAATGTCCTTTTATTTGCACATTTGCACCTAAAAATGGGAAAACCTCCATCTTGAGGGCAAAGCTACAGTAGATTTGAGTATTTATCTTAAACACAATGAGTGTGGGTTGTGGATCGATCAGAGATAAAAGTGTTGCCTGACCTTGGAAACCGTGTCAAGGATTCTCTCATTCGCCGGGACGTGAGCGAGGGCAGGGACGGGCCGCTGCTGTCGCCAGGTGTCGGACACAACCTGAAGATCGACAGCGATAAAGACCCTCAGTGCGTGGGAATGTGTCAGAGCTTAATCAAATAACAGCCGACTGCTAAAGAATACAATGGTTGCCAGGTGAAAGGCTTTATCTCGCCACTGTCAATGATATGGATCCTACAGATGATAACCATCAGTCCTGCAGCCTGCATGCAAAATAACACTAATAAGCTTCTATTCTCAGTGTGAGTACGCAAATCCATATATAGGAGCTTAATCAGGAGACCTGTAGTATCAGCAGAACATGCTTTCTCTTTTTTTTATCTCAGCACTATTTCTCATGCACTATGAATCCAACCTCAGCTTTGATTAGATTCAAAATGCAAGTACATTATAAGCTTAAGCTAAAAGAAAGCGTGGCTCTACGATGGCAAGTATGTCTGTCAGTTATATTTCTATAATGGATTCATCATAATGTAATGTTACAGAATGTGCTACTGAAGACACTTACAGGAGTTGTCTGATGTTACTCCAGTCCACACACATCGTGGGCACTTTGGTGCTGCAATGCTCATGGAATTTGTAGCCGCATGTTTGGCAGCGGAAACCGTTCAACAGAAACTTCTGGCAAATATCACAGAACGCTAGTTTCAGATATGTTTTCCGAACCTGAAAATGACAAAGAAAATACACATGTATTACTTCAGCAGTGATACTCTGAACTGAATTAAGTGTAAGCTTAACGAAAATACTTCAGATACTCACAAAATTATGTGTTGTCAATGGAACATGATCTAAAACCTCCACCTGTAGCTCTTCTCCAATCAGGGAGGAGGAATCGGTGTGCCAATCCATTCGTAATTTTTTACTTTTAAACAAAACAACAAAAAGCTTTAGAGGGACGAGGGGATATCAAAGCAAGCTAAATAACAGTAGCAGGAAATAATGTGTTTAGTTCAATCTCTGATGTTTCAAACAGTCCTGAGCTCACCTCCTCTCTCCTGGTTGCAGCCTGAAGACAGCGCAGCACTGAGGCTGCAGACCTCGCACCTTTAGTGCTTTAATCAGGCAATTGTACAAAGTCATACCTGGTCGCACGTTTACCTGAGGGGAGAAAAAAAGGTTAACTCTTCCATATTCTTAGTAAGTAACTGTACATCAGTATTTCATCAGCCTTGTATGCCATCTTCTTCCAGCAGGAAAAAGCGACTCACCACGGTGCGCTGCTGGTTCGGGAGGTAGACACGGATAGTGCTGCTAGTTTTGGAGTCTGGGATCTTGCTGTCGTCCGAGGAGCGGCGCTGGTAGGGAAAGCCCTGGACCATGGTGGGGGAAAGGCACGGGCCCTCAAACGCAGAGTCCTTCATTCCGAAGCCGTTGCTCAGGGTCTTCCACGCTCCCTGAAGGTGCTCCATTAGTAAAGCCAAGTGCACTCAATGGTCTGGAAAAAAAAAGAAAACCACATACAGTATAAGAAGTGCAAGGGCTTCAAAGCAAAGTCTAATCAATATTACATTAGTTCTCTTACTTCTTTGGGAGGATATTGGTGGTGTGCAGACTCAGTGTTGAAGTGTAAAAGAGTAGTCTGCAGATTTAAATAGAGGGTAAATGATTTTCCACCATGAAAAGTATTTAAGTTAAATTTGCCAGGCAATCTTTCTGAGGATGTACAAGTGTTTAAATGCATAGTCTCAACCTAAATATGTAGCTTCAATTGTGGCATTTTGTTTACCACTGAAAAAGCAGCTGTGGTATCACAGACAGAAACATGTGACAGAACAAAGATGTGTTAAAGTATCGAGAACTTGTTTGATCTAATCTCATAACCTTATCTCTCAGAATGCAAACCTCTAGGACAATGCATTTAAAGCGTTTACTGGGTTATATATCTGTAGCTTAGTAGCAAACCCTATCAGAAACGTGAGAGAAAAGTCAAGCGAATGTGTCGGTCGGACCAGTTTAGTGGTCCAATGCGCTTATTAAACTCTCAACCCTACACTATATCACACTATAGTAGGAGTTTAAGGAATACCACATGTGCTTTTTTAGGATTAAACTAGCCATTGTCCTTTCCCTTTCATTGTAGGTGGATCAGCAGAGCTATGTAGACAAACTAATCCACTCAGACCAGGAGAATCTCAGGCCACCACAGAGGTCAGTCGTGTTATTTACACTATATGCTTTCAACACTCTTTCTTTCTGCATGGTCAGGCAGCAAAAGAAAACTTAATAGTTTGGATCATACAAGTTTCACACATTAGGACTATTATACAAAAGAGATAAAGGGAAGGAATAACTTTTAAAAAACTGGTTAACTAAACAAAGAAATATGTGCTTCTTCCAAACCAATTTGTTCTTTGTCAACTACTCAGTGACTTGAAGAAAAAAACTAATTAAGTTGGACCTACCCATCCTCAAACAAATGTGATCCCTCTTTCACTTTGATTTCAATACAAAGAGTTAGTTCAACTTGTATATCCAGAAGTGTCACTGATTCTTGGTCTTCGTTTTAATTGTGTATACTTTTACTCAGCAAAACTCCTAATTATCTCTGGTGTGTCCCAAACAGACCTGTTAACACTGAGGAGATGATTTACTGCAGTTAGTGGTTACCTGTCACAGCAGACATACCAGTGTGTCAGAAAATCAAGAACTTGGAAGACTGCGACGAGCACTGCGATCCATCCATACAAATGTGTATCAACAGTGAAGTCCAGACTTTACTCCTCTCTGCTTAGATCTGCTCTACAGAACAGGTCAGTCTACATAGCACAGTCAGCTATAAAATACCAGCACAATGGTTGCATCCACAGCAGAGTTTCTACGACTTCGCTTAAGTCTTTAAAGTCATAGGTAAGATCAATGTCAGCACATCTTGAGCAGTGGTGCAAAGTAACTAAGTACATTTACTCAAGTACTGGAGTTAAGACACTTGAGAGACTTGCACTTTACCTGAGTATTGCTACTTTGTATCTGCCCCACTACAGATCAGAGGTAAATAGTGTACTTTTACTCTATTTACTTATACATGTATTTAATAAATGTAGTTACTTTGCAGATTTTGATTAATGATGTGAAATATAAACAACCATTAAAAATGACTTTGGTTACACATGGAGTAAATTCACAAGCTACCCTACAGTATAAAAAGTAAACTTCACCCTTACCAGCTTTGATAAACACAATAATTATAACCAAAACATGTTATATATCAATCTGGAAAAAGCCAATCTGCATAATGAGTACTTTTACTTCTGGTACATTTTGATGCTAACACTTTTGTACTTTTACTTGAGTAACATTTTGAATGTAGGATTTTTACTTGTAACAGAGTTTTCCTACGCTGTGGTAGTTCTACTTTTACTGAAGTACAATATCTGAGTACTTCTTCCACCTCTGATTTCAGGAGAGTTGTGTAGAGGCTCGCTAAAGTGACTTTTGAACGGCTTCAATTGAGTTCCAATAAATCCAAACTTACTAAACATACTAGTAAACTACGCCTACCACTGAAAGGCGTGCATGATTTAGGCTACACAACCACAGAAGCTATTAGTAGCTACGTGTGTTTTTATAAGGCCTGGTAGATCCAGTTATTGCTGTGAAATTGCCTGAAGGCCCTCAGCGGCAAACTCTATCGTTAAACTTCACTGCACATTCACCCTCCATTCAAATTTCACTTGTTCAAGCGATGCATGTCGTGGTCATGTGTCCTAAGGAGAAGCAGTTTTACAGTTGTAGTTAACATTTCAAACCCAATTCAAAAGAGTAGCCATGCTAAGAGCCAGTAGCCTATGTGTGCTTACCAAGAGAAGTTAGAGAAGTTGTGCTCCGCCATAACTTCAGGAAAAAGTGGCGTCGGTGACATCATCATATTTGCAACGCATTCAAAGAAAAGGGAAAAAGTCGAACTTCTTAAAACCGTAAAGTTGTATCTAATAACCTTGTATCCGGTAAATGTTGCAATATTGTTGGACGTGAAGGTCATAGGCTTGTCGCTTTTACAAGCCACTAAATATAATAAGAGGAAAAGTTGTATATCCCAGTCGTGGTAAAAGCGAAAAAATCCGTCGGACCCTCAAAGTGACACGACGAGGGATACTGTTAAAGTCCCGTGAAGCACTTTCAAATTAAAACTAACATTAGTTGCTCGGCACGTCCTTGCTTTTCAATCAATATTTACGTTGTTCAGGAGGAGGTGAAAAGGTTTGAGTTGGTGTCGTGCGTCCGTCTGACGCCAGTGATTGAAACAGGACCTTGCAGTCATAACAAGAGTTGCAAGCATCACTCACACTGCGCAACTATAGCACAATTTAATCCCTCCCACTTTGTTCAAACCGCTGTTTTGGTTATTAAAAATAAACTGCATATTTGTATAGTATTAGGGTCTTTATACAAGGTCATACTATACATAATATACTATAGTTAAAGTCATATTGGGTAGCCAATACGTTGCAAATGAGCTCCTGCTGTCTTTTTGTTGTTGTTGTTGTGGGTGAAACAATAATATGGTTTTTCATGCACTTTTGTTAAAATACAAGTTGCAACAGTATCTTTTGAAAAGCAAAAAATCTAACCACTACCGGTTTGGAGTAAGGGAGTAATCCATTATTAACTTCAAGTGCACCACCATCTGGATACAAAGGGACAGTGCAGCGTTTCCTTGGATTTCTTTGGAGCCTTCCTGAAATTCATGCTACATTTTACATATCTGGTCAAAAAGACAATAAAGAGTCCATTTGAAGTATGGCATGTAGGCTATAGAAAAGTATTCAACCTAGTTTTAAAGGTGAATACATATTTTTTAAATTGATAAAGGTTCATCATTCTTTAATTTGTTGGATATGAAAGGCTTAATACATTAAAACATCATCATCAGCTTTATTTAAAGAGACTCTTGGTCCATTATTAAAAGACATACAACACTAAAAAAAAAAACAGACTTTAAACTACAGCTTTTGTTAGCCAATGACATACCAAACCCAGAAACACTAACATTTTTAAACCGTACCCTTTACACTCACCATGTGTTCATCATCTCCGTAGCATCCCGGTGTGGGTCCCCTGAGGTACCCGGATTACAGATGGCTCATAGGTCCTTTCAGCCAGATGGAGTTGACATCTGAGAATAAAACAGCCTTATCAACATCCTGGTAAATATGTCTTAGGTTTCAGCATACATTGTTTCCATAAAGCAGCAGCAGACTCCAGAAATCCAAATCACAAACCCATGTTAAATTATATCCTCCTTACTTTACAATGTACTCTACTTTTCTAAAAAATTCAATTTTCTAACAGATGTTCCATCTGACAAATAACAGAAATGCCAAACACTGTTTCAGTGAAGATGAGGGCAGGGCTTTGTCATTGAGCGTTTTAAGGTACTCCACCCCACATGCAACAGTATTACTGTATTTCAGTCATTGCTGGATATTATGGTAAAACATCTCCTATTAAATTTAAAATGATGCCGCAAAGGATGTGATATTTCCCCTGCTTTGTGTTTAATGTTGTGAGCTGCAGAATAAAGACCACAGCAAATAATAATTGCTATGACAAAGCTTTACAGTGAAAGCCACCTTAAGACTGAGCTGAATGCATCTTTCCCACTTATTGATCTGACTGAGCACTCAGGCCAGTTAGCTGAGATGCTTGCTGCTCCCATGGATTGTTATCTATATCAGCTCACTTGTATTCAAAATATGATGCAATCAGGACTCCTTGGACTTTCACTTAGTAACTCTGATATAGACCCTTCTTGTTTGAGACACACATAAGCTGTTTGGTATACAATATTGTTTAAGATCTACTTCAATTTCATTCTGTTTTTTTTCAATTAATTAAACTTTGGGAGAAGTGAAGAAATCAAATAATGTTTTTCATAGACATCTTATTATTTCCTTTATTATTAACACAAATAACAGTGGCAGTGTTTATTTAGAATCAGATACACTGGTTATTGCACTAATTCTGTATTTAAAAAAAGAAGCTTCTTTTGAGACATGTCCAGGTACTGTCATTTAATTAATTACTTAACTTTTCATATTTTCTGAAACTATTATCAATGATTATATTATTAATATTATTATTTAAATGATTAGTAGTAGTTGTTTTTGTAGAAGTAGTAGTGCCATTTTTACTATAAGTATATTGCTTATAATAAGGCTTTAACATTCCTCAATGTTTTAAGAAGTTGGAAAAACAAGACCAGTCAGTTTAGGGAAAGGGGACCATTCTCTATCCGCGATTGGCTGATTCATAGAGGCGGTGTCCAGACTTCCTCGTGTTTGATTGGTTGCTTTCAGAGTATGTGACCAATGAGAGTGCAGGTTTCTACTGGATACTGTGAATGACAATTCAGGAACTCCTGTTCGCACCGCATGTAGCGCAAAGAAGGAGGCGTAAACACTGACAGAGC